TCGGCGGGACTGCCCATCTAATCAGCAGTCTCATAATCCACATCATCATTACGGCAATCACTACACAGCGAAAAATATACAGCTCAATATCAAATCATAACATATGTTAAACCAAAAAGATCTGGTGTGCTCTATGAATGCAATTGAGTTGAGGGGAGTCCTGTACATGTTAATTTGCTTTGAAAGTGATAATAAGCTGGTTGAAAACCATAGAACCAGAGCAAAAACTCGATCACAGTCTCACTCACATTTATTTTTGTGTGTACCATTATGTTTCGCGTGGTTATTGTTATTATATAGTAGATATATGTATTCCGTTGACAGTCCGCGTCACATCCACTGCGCATCAACGCACATTTTCCGAGTTTCTTTTTTTTGGGTCAGAAAATCTTTTTTTTTGTGCTCGTCGAACAGCCAAAGTCAGTGAACTTTCAGCTAGATGAAATATTGAGGAAAGTTCTGTGTCTTGACAGCTTGATGGAGCAGCTGACTGACGGATTGATGAGCGTTTTTCCACTTATCAAATTGACTGCCATGAAATGTTTTCATTTAAATATATAATCGCTTGAGAGCAAAGTTGCGTAATTGATTTGCTAACGCTGAGAGCAACAAGTTTAGCATGAAACCGAAATCGATAAATAGCGTCGACTCCTTCTAGCATATCTACCCGTCTCTTTCACTTTCCTTTTACGTGTATGCGTAAAGAATCTTGTTAGATGCTGCGGCTCTCACTTAGCATTTGCAATTTTCTCAGGAATGCTGCTCTTTGCAGTGGCGAAGTTTCGCTTTCTAAATGCCTCGCATTACTCATACGACGCGTTGTACAATGTTGCAAGCTGGCGGGGAGGGTTAAGGAAAAGTGGTGTAGCTTACAAAGAGTTGCTGCAGAAATAGTTGACAATGGATGCACGAACTTTTAAATTATATCAGACTTTTGGGTCTAACAACCTCAACAGTTTTATCGGCTTCAGACTTAATTTCTTGAGCTGTAATAACATCAAATACCTAAATGTTTAACTACTTTTTTTTAGCATCTAATGCTTTCCATTTTTGTTGGCCCACTTTGCGGCAGCACGTGCGTCGGCTTAGCCAGATCTCTTTGCTTTTTATTTACCTAGGCCACTTGAGTTGTTTTTAATAAACTGTTAATAATGGTTAACTTTTGGCGCTCACCAGCCACCCACGCTTTTAGCCACACTGAGCGAACAAAGACACGACACCTGCCCACATGAATTGAGCTGGTTTTGGCCGCATTTGTACGTCTGTCTTGCCGCTACTTCGTGGTCAATAAATGTGGCCATTATAAGCCTTGTTCGGGCGTGGGCGTGGCATTTATCCATAGTATATTCCATACGAGATTTGCCATCGCGTGTGCAGACTTCTTGGTTTTCGTGGAGTGTGTGTTGGCGTGCTCTGGGCAATTTCGTATTTTTTTTCTCCTTTTATAGTTTTTGCCATAAGGAGCATTTCGGTGCGATTCATTGACCAGATTCCATGACTATGCACAATGTAAATGAAACAATTGTTTGCAGTGGTTACTGGTGTTTTTTTTTTGCTCTTGCTGGCATAATTATGCGCCTGAAATCGTTGGCTGTCATTAGGCGCACGAGTTGACCGTGAACCAGTGACAGCTCCACATTTTCAGTTCTCTTTCGCTTTTAATTATTAAATTTTATGAAAACACTTTTGCCAAGCCATTAAAAAGTAAAGCAAATTAAGGTAAATATAGGGCAGATAACTTTAGGTAATAGTTTTGAAGATGTTTTGGTTTCAGTTAACTGATTAATAATCTTTTAGCTTGTTAATCATTAAAATGGGACAATACATCGCAATAAAGTTTCTGAGATGTCTTTCTATAAGCAAAAATTATGCAATACAAGTTGTCGAATCAATTAGAATTCATACACGTACATCTGTAGTTTAAATTGACGAAGTCATAGGAATATTGGAAATTGAATCAAGGATTGGAAAGGCTATTTCTCCCTGACCTAAACAGTCACCAGGGGACTTTGTGGTTTCGGGGTGGGCCTTTTCGATTCTCCCAGTTGCATTGCCAATATCCGCTGGCAATGCAATCAAGCAGTAAATAAATTCGAAATAGTAACAATACAAAAACATCGAATTCCATCAACTGACTGACTGCCGCCGACCCAATGAATGAATTGAATGAATTAGTGACGAATGCCGGGCGAGCTGCGTGAATCGATTCACGCTCGACCGACAAACTTCCGCTGCTGGGCCGAAAGCTAACGAATGATAACTGTGCCATGTTTTCCACTGGAGGTTAAGTGCAAACGTCATAAACTCAATTTCTCCGATCCCCGCCCCCTGGAAGCCCCGGGTCCCCGAGTCCCGCCGAATCCCCAATGCCCTTTAACTGTACCGCACTGTGTGTACATAGTTTAGTTACCTTTCGAAAAGACAAAGCACCGAGCAAAGCAGAGTCGGACCAAAACAAAAAGTGATTCATGCGCAACCAGAAACGCCGAAAGAGACGGGTAGACACCCGCAGAGAGAGAGGGAGGGATAAACTTGTTTCCTAGGCCCAACAACGAGAGGCAATGGAGCATCCAAAGATGGGAAATGCTAGCTATAAGAAGTGGTCTCTGGGGGAACCAAAGAACCTATATAAAGTAAACGATTTTCTATAAACCAGGAAATGCACCCAGATGTACTTTTTTATAATATTGCTTACAGTTATTGGAGTTTTTTTCCACCTACAAAAATCTCTCCTATAGATTATAGAATTTCGCTCGGTGCATTCGACTGCTTTCCTTAACGGAACCCAAATCGATCCGCCCTTCTGCCATCCTTAATTGCATTGCCACGCCCCGTTTATTGGAGTGCGGTTGCCCCGACTTGCCCCGACTTTCCAATTGATCCGATTGATAATTGGATTTGCGTTTTGCCGATTGGGAAAAGCGGCGATGCGGCGGCGGCTAAAGAAACTACCTTTCGAAACCGAAACTCCATTGCCCTATATGGAACCGAGGGTCGATTCGTGAAGAATCAGCTGATTCATTAGCCCCAATTTAGACGGCCAAGGCTTGGGCGGTACAAATGCGAACGTGCCTATCGTATCGACACCTCTCGCAGGTCGATTTCCAATCGCAAATCGTTATCAGCCCCGTTCGATTTCATTTCAATAAGCGTCTAATGAGAGTGGGTCGGATGGCAGACCTTATAAGGCTACGGAACCCCTATACGAGCGCGGTATGGGTGAACCAGGCGCCGATCATTAAATTAAACTACACATGTTGTAGATAAGGAAATGGTATTCGCTGAATCGAGCGTTCGCCTTGTTGATTTTTTCAGCAGGTGATAATAGATTTGTTTGCTTTACAATGTTTGGAAATTTTAATTGCTGCGGTATTTAGAAGGAAGCGGAACAGAACAAAGAAATTAAAGTGATTTTAGATATTTGCGATTGAATGAATGAATATGAATGAATGTTGATATGTTTTCACAATCAAACTATATGACTGCTCCCTAACAATTTGCAATCAGAAATTAATTTCAAATTGCTTTGGCCTCAAAACATTAAACCAAGTAATCATCGGTTTGTGGGAGTTATTAGATCAGCAATACAGTTCGCCTCAAGCTTTAAAACCCCGTATTATCATAGAGCTACCTGAAGCATAGAATTTCCACCATAAGGCAATGAACTAGGGGGCATGTCTAGGGAAACATCAATATATATTGTGGCCGTAAATAGCTCTAATACGCATAAACATATCCGATGTGTGTAGTGTGTGTTTTATTTGTAGTCGGAGAGTTGAGCCCACAGTTCAATAAACCCACCACAAACAGCTAATTACAATCCCCGGCAGCAAAGACAGCGGCAGCAACTAAAATAAAAATTTAACTACAAAATAATGTATGAAAAGAGATGAAAAAAGTCGTTGTTTCTTTTCATTTGACAAATTGTTAAATTAATTGCACATAAAAGAGCCACAAAAGCGGTGCTGTGGAAAGAGAGATCTCTCTAGATCGGTCTGCGTAATTAAAAATATAAACGAAATGGCAATTGAAGAGCCGAAATACAAATGCCCCATGCAATCAGCTTTCTTCACGCTAAAATTAGCAGCAGCCACAAAAAATAAAAAATTAAATAGAAAAGGAAAGGGGCAGAGGCTGTGGGCAGAATATATTTTACACAAATTTTCCACCGATGAAAGTTTTCCTCTTTCATTATTTTTCGGCTCGTGTTTATCGAAACTTTTCGAGATGTTTAGATTTTCTTTTCTTGTTAGGAATTCTTTCTCCCCCCTCCCCAATACCCAAACCCATGGGCCGTGAAAAGTGGGTGTGATGTGGGTGGTGCCCCAATCAATTTAAGAATAAATTGAAAAACTGCAGCTAGAAATTGAAACTGAAACTGTCACAGCCCAATGCTGTGGGTAATTAAAAATAGTTCTTGCCGGGTTTCGATTTCTCGAATCTCAAAACTCGATTCTCGCCGATTGTCTATTGCCGATTCTCCCAGTTCGATTTTATTATTGTCCCAATAAACTTTGCCCTTTTAAGTTGGCCATGGGCCAATAGAAGGATAGGACAAGCAGCGTTCGCCAATTAAAAATGCATGAGGCAGAGTTATGAGCCAGTAGAGATGGCTGGCCAAAATTGATAGGCCAGTGCAGGTGGACACAACCTAAGGAATACAGGTGCAATTGACATGGAGACTTTTGGACGATAATTGAATTGATCAATGAATAATATTAGCCAGCGGAAACGTCAATTTTCGACGGCTATTTAAGATCACATTCTGCTTAATTACAACTATTTCTTGTACAGAACTTTAATATATACCATACAGCTGCATTATTAGCTAAAAACTGTATAAGCTTTTATCTAATCTATTTAAAATAATTCGCCTGCCACGGTCCAACAGCAATTATCTGCCAATAGTTATGGCGTTCTTAGTCACTGACATATGCCAATCTACACTAATACGCATATGAATTCAATATACATATAATTATACATTTTGAACAACTCACCTTAACAAGCAATTTTGCTGGCAGGAAACATTTGTGTTGGGAAGGCAAATATATATAATGATCTGTTTAGTTCACTGAAAGGAAAAACAGAACAAGTATTAATTTAATTCAATAGCTAGCAATTGACTTTAGAACTAATTGCAAGGAGTTTAATAAGCATTACAAATTGATGTAATTCATGTTCTTACTAGACACTTTAGATGTATGTGTACTTAAATTAAGTTTGGAGTACAATTTCTTTAAGTGCATAAGTATATTAGTTGATCTTCTGATTTGTGTTTTCTGTCATGGCCAAAATACGTCATCTTTCGTAGCCTGACTCTTCTAAATAATTAAGGAAACTGACTCATGTGGTTCTGTACCACCTATATATTACTTAAAAAGTGCACAGATAAATTTACCCAAATTGATCTGTAAACAACGAGAATTTCCCAGAACATTGATGCTTTTATTTTAGACGGTGGCACATCCGGTGATTGTCGAATTTCAGAGAGTGCCATTGACATGATCTCCATTTAGAAATATCTGTTTATGTTTACTAACCAATTCCACGACCCTCGGATGCGATCAAACATTGTCGCCTGTCAGCACTTTGAATTTGCATTGAAAATTGTATTGTTCACTGCCATTAATTGGCCTTCGCTTTGACTCCGGGGAATCGAGCATGCAAATGCAATTTGTTTGGATGATTTCAATTGAGAGACGGCGAACCATTGCAATGGGGTGTTTGCATGGAGATTCAAATCAATAAATCGCGAAAAGTGTTTAGTCAATAAACCACTTGCAGTTTTCCCCAACAAAAATATAAACGCAACAGAAGAAAATACCCCATTATACATATTAAAAACAAGATAGAGTTCCCCGACTATCAGATACCCGTTACTCAGCTAGTGGAAGTGCAAACGAGAAATTTCAACATTTTCTGGAATATCGGTAGAAATTGGGGAAAAAAAGTAATTAAATGCAAAAAAACTTAAACATTTTGTAAAGTTTTTTTTGTGCAGTTTGTGGGCGCTAGAGTGGTATAGATCTAGTATTCCTTTTTACTCTACTAATAGCGGGTATAATTACATAAAGACCAACTTCATACCGCAGTGAAAGAATGAATTACTTGGAAGAAATCAGGCTTAACTTGTATGTGTTTTCAGATAGCTATAAAGTGCTAAGGATATCACTGAATTAGGACACCAAATTCGAAGAACCCGTGGGCGCAAAACACCCCCACGGAGTTATATTGCTTCGGGATAATCCCCAATGCTTGCCCCATTCCTAGGTAATTCCTTGGAAATTGAAAACTTCCAGTTCGTGAATATGTAGTGCAGTTTTGTAAACAAATACAGGTGCTACCACGTACAAGCCCAAAGGAATGGCATTATATGTATATGGAAATATATAGAGAAGGTAGGTGAGCCGTGCCAGAAGCTGTCGAAGCGTAAAACTTAATCATATTAAGAGCTCGCAAACCGGCTCCTAAACTAAACTTGGTCTAGAAGGCAGAAGGGCTGATTAAACGATAGATGGATAGATGACTGAAGCTAAACGAACGGGTGAGTGGCTGAGTGAATAAACCGAGTGGCTAAATGAGCAAAGTTAATGCCTCACTGGCTGAACAACTGGAAAATCGAGGCTCAAATTAATAACCCCAACACCGGCACAAAGGCGGGCGTAACAAAAGTAGCATGTTGTATGTGCTTAGTTGTCTCAACTGAATTATAGACAAGAGCAGAATCTTATTCACCGGATCAGCGAACTTTTGCAATGTGAAAATGCACATATAACAAAGCGAAAAACAACCATCACAACAAAGGAGCTCACCCACTTGGGTCATGGTCATCATGGTGATGACGGCGATGTCTGTCAGGTTTTTAATTAATAATGAAACTCCTACCACCACCTCTAAAATGAAATAAGAGACACAGAAGACAAAGAGAAAGAAAGGCTCAGACAACAAAACGCATGAAATTGAAAACGAACAGTGGACACTTTGATGATGTATTTTTGATAAATTGTGAAAGTGCCCGGCCCAGACGACAGCTAATTGACGCCCCAAAACTCCCCAACAAGCCCATTTTTCCCCACCGAATGGCATATGTTATTAAAGTGGCGATAAAAATGCGATTAATAGCGCACAAAAGCCTATCATGTGAAAGGCCAAGTAAAACCCAAATGGCGTATGCCAAAAACGAAAAAGAAATCGTATTGGCGATGAAAAACTGATCACTGCCTCCTACAAAGAAAAACATTTTTACGCGCGCTGTTCAACTTAAATAAATTGACTCTAAATAGAAGTAAGAGTGTAAAAGATACTTGTCCTTGGCAGCAAGTTTATTTAATTCGACTGATATTTTATCAGTGTCACAACGCAAAACATTGAACGATATCAATTTCCCATTTATGGGTTAATGGGGGAGAAACGCAGATAGAGGGATTCTACTCGGGTTTTGTTTTTACGAGGAGTTATGTTTAATGGCTTTTCAAGTGCTTCTCAAATGAGGAACCGAAGACCCTGCCAACCACTTGCAATTGCCCACACATTGCGGTCATAAAGAGTGCACTTTATGGCATTCCACTAACAAAGGTCAAAGGTTTAAGGGGCCACAAGAATGGCAGTGTTTTAACAGGAGTGACAGTAGTTAAAGCATGTGAAAGTAATCTATACCTTCTAGTTGTAACTATTCCTTACATAGAGGTGTTTGGGCTTTTGTGACAGATGGGCTAATTACAAAATATTGAAATACATTTAAGTGGCATTACCAGCCAACACAGATAATTTGTATTCTCCTGATCCCACATCAGCAGTGAAAGGGGAAAACCAGTTACATTTACACTCTAACCAACATATGCTAATGGCCATTGCTATTACCATCCAGACTAAAAGCCATTAACGCCTCTTGAGAACCATAGTCCACAAATATGGCCCAAAGCGAATTGTCTAATGAATATATTCCACACAAAGCACACACTCATAACAAATGTCACACTTTGCACGTGCCCTCCAAAAAAAATAAATAAAAAAATGAAAAACGAGGCCCCAATTAGAGCCCAAATTAGGTGTTTTCTCGAGGCTGAGACTTAAAATAAAATTCCAGCCTTCGAAAGTGATAAAAGAACCCGGCGTTGATTATTATTAACAGCAATGCTCCACCTATTATCTTATCTCTGGATTTAAATTTTTCGGCCATGCGATCGGGCCAGAAATATTTATGCAGTCAGTCAAAAAGTTTTGCTCTTCGACTGGAATCCAAAGAGTGCCTGAACATTGTTCTTGTGCTTTGGCCAGTGCAATGTCATGACTTGACGCCATCACATTTTCTGCGCTGCCTTGATTGGTGTAAAGAAAATTGCACCGACAGCAGAACGCGATCTTAAAAGTCAATGCTCCTATATGCTCTTGTGACCGGGTTCAACGAATGGCGATTATTCCAGCGATATTCTTATCAGAGGATGTTCGTGACTGCGGCTCTCTTGGTAATTTGCATCGAGTACTATACCCTTTCAAGGACTGGACAACCCGTACCAATTGTTTCAATTTTTATGTAATCTTCAGTAATCCCTCGTATTTTTAAGCATGTGATTTCTAATTGTGCCATTTATACTAGTACCAAGTACTAATTACTATACATCTAAGTCCAAAACAATCATTTGACTCTCTATATCGATGGAATACTCCATGTAATTTGCTGAATTTCTTTGAAATAATGTCAAGGCTAATGCATTAAACCTTTTCGCTGGCTTGACATTATTGTTCCCAGCTTTCTTGTTTGACTCTCTTTTTCCTTTTTTTTTTTGGGAAACTTTAGCACTTGTCATTGTCGGGTGCTGCCACGCCCCCTGTCACGCCCCTTACAATGATGTCACATCACGCAGACTCAAATTGCTCCAATTTCGCCCATTGCTTTTGACTATGTCACGCTTTTCCCAGCGAACGCTTTTCCACACTTGACTTCGCGTTTCCCCGCGATCTTGGGACCACGTTATTCCCACCTCAACTAATAACTTTGTTGGTTTTCCATCCATTTTCCGAGTGCATTGCGCCTGGGCTTTGACTTTTTCCGCAGTTTGCCACTGTTTCATTTTCTTTTTGCGCCTGCCCTGGATTTCCATTTTGTCGTACTTGGTTTTTGCGCTGGTTTTTCTCGCCGATTGTGAAACGTTGTGCACTAATGGCAGCTGTGAAATGCATTTATGTTTATGGTCTAGTTTTTCCATTCTTTTTTTTTTTTTTTTTTTGTTTGGGCGCCTTTTGAGCACCTCTTAAGGGCAAACATTTATTCTTATCCTCCAGTCACATTAGTGCGAAGGCTAAGAGCAACCGTGATGGTTTTGCTCCGGAATTACGAATGGAAATGGAGCAGCACAGTGGGATTTAAAAACATTTAACTTTGCGGAAATTAATCGACATATGTAGCTTAGATATTAAAAATGAACAACCTTTCACTAAGACAATTTGTTTCATTTAGATAATCATACATTTTAAGATGGTCTATCTAAAACTGTTGATAATTTGAAGTTCTATACGTTTTCAGAGTTCAATAGCTTCAGAGATTGTACGATCATTTGGACATCATGCCATAGAAAACATTGTTTGTCCGAAGTATTGTTAAAATAAACTAATAACGAACTTTCAAATACCAAATTTCAAGTAAAGAAGACCAACCATTCTTCACCGGTTATATATCCTAGCATGTGTGATAAAATTAACATAAACTACAAAAAAGATTACATAAACATGCAAATCTTCCACTTCATTTTATAATACAGCATTATTGATACCCGGCTGGCGACTCACCTTGATAATTTACAGATTCAGCTGGAACTGTTTGATTTATTCGAAGGGGTTTGCATATATCATTTTGAAAACGGCAAATTGCGATTATAATCGAAGCAGAGATGAGCAGAGGAAGAGAAGAAGAATAAGAGGAATGGCGATGTTAGGGAGATAAAGATAAAGTTGCACGCGAAAACCGGTTGCCGTTATTGTTTACACCAAATCGGAAACGAAGTTGTGGGGGGCAGGCGCGAATATGGATTGCAAGGAGGGAAGGAAGTGGAAATTGGGTGGAAGACGGGGAACGG